GGGGGGGGATCAAACTAAATAAAACGACAACTCTTAGGCAACCTAACGAGATTTTAATCGAAACAGAGCAGAGTTGGCACCCTTGTCGCATCTTGCGCACTCCTCCTTCACACAAGACAAATACCGCAAGCATAAGTCACGATTTTGGGCGCCTCCGAAGTCGGACAGCGAGACAGAAGGCCCCTGGGGAACAAATCGGTAAGCTCGGTTTGATTGACTGATTTGATTGTAACTGCTTTAAGTCCTTATTAACACAATTCAGATACATAAAGGGGCGGGCTGCTTCGAACCTACCTGCTTGGGCTGACATGGTCAGAGAATCGCGCTCAGAGAGACAGCAGAAACTTACACCATCTCTCGTCACTGTAGTAATAAAAGCGTAGCCACTTTGAAGCGATACCATTGAGCTAAGACTGAATTGTGCCTCCTTGTTAATTTTCTTATTGAAAAAAATATATAGCGTGTGTGTAGATTCGTAGCCCTACTTCCAGAGAAAGTTTTCCGTGTGAACATTGGTACAGCCCTAACTGCTCTTGTACACTTTCTATTCTGTGAACTTTGGCATATTATGTGAAGGCTAGCAGTTTGAGCCCTCGACAAGGCTGCCACGCTCTGTATTTTTTTTTTTTTTTTTTGGGGGGGGATCGGGGAAGTTATTGGAGAGAGATTGGGGCAGCCTGGGGGCTATCAAGACATATCTAATGTGATTTCAGTTTGGACGTTATCTGTACTTCCCATAAGACCTATATCTAAGGAGTCGTCAGGACGTCCCATAAGACTTAATTGTGTCTAAAACGTTTTCAGGACGTCCCATAAGACATATGTCTATAGAGTTATCTGGACGTTCCTTAAGACCTGTCTCTATTGATTATCATGTCGCCCCATAAGACCTTTGTCTAAGGAGTTATCAGGACGTCCCATAAGACTTATGTTTAAGAAGTTATCGAGAGGTCGAGACTTCTGTCTGGAAGGGAGAGTGTATCTGGATGTCGAAACTTCTGTCTTGGGGTTATCAGGACATCTAGAAAGACTTCAGTTTCGAGGGATGTGAGACTACATCGCATAACTGATCTCAGCAACAGTGTACGTGTCACAGTCCATCAGCACTGGACATGTTATGTAAGACAGACAGTGATAAGTGATATCATCTGAGCGTGCAACAGAGCAAAAGGACATGTAATTGTTCTCCCCATTGGACAGATCATAAGACTATCGTTGCGACATCTATCCTTTACACTTTTCTGTGGTTAAAGGAGTGGTCCCCGATATGCGTCCAGCTCCTCTTTCTTTTATGTTTATTTTCTTCTGAATCTTTCTTTCTTTCTTTTGGTAACTCGCGAAGGCCAGAACTGGTTGGGCGGAAACGTCGGATCAAAAGGCACGAAATCTCGTCTGACACAACGACAGGTAGGAATGTGGACATGTTGACTAATTTCCTGCCTGCAGAAACGAAGAGATTCGTTCTCAGAGTCAGAGAGACTGCAAAAACGTACCAGCTCAACGTCATTGTAATACAAACGTGATCCCTGTGAAGCGCCTTTGCCATTGGGCTAAGCCCGAATAACCCCCGTCACCTACTTGTTCTTGTGTGCTTTTTTTTTTTTATAGGAAACGTAACCCATTTCTCACTATTTTCACAGTTTAGTCATGTAGATTGATAACTGGATTAACTTATTCTTTCACCTCATCTCAGATCTTTCTCAGACTTTTGGTTAAGCTGCCGAGAGTCGAAATGAAAATGTTTGCAAAGCGATTCAATGTAAAACGGCTGAGTACAAAGTTCTATTTAAACACACACACACAGGAGGCTCTCGTGGCCTAGAGGTTAAGGTGTTGGCCTCTCATTCAAAGGTCCCGGGTTCGATTCCGGGTAGCGACCAAAATATTTTCTTCTCTAAAAGTGTCTCCTTTCGCCTCCTTTCCTGCTCTCTAACAATATTCTGTTGTCTGCTTTCACTTCCACTTTCTGCCCCCACCCACTCACCTCCTTTGCCCCCT